CACTCTGATGCACGGGCAGTATCACCCTACATGGGAAGACCACATGCTACTGGCTACCCAGTGGCTATCAAGAATGCTCTGCCACAGATACCCATGTACAAATTCTCTTGGATGTGTACCTAGAAGCCAAGCTGCTGGGTCATATGCTAATCCTACATTTAACTTTTGGAGAGGCTGACAATTGTTTTGCAAAGGTCGCACTATTTGCTCTTCTGGCCGGCATCTGAAGGTCCTAATTTTGCTCCATCCATGCAGTGGCTGCTATTAGATACCATTTGATTACAGCCACCTTAGCGGCAAAGCAGCATCTCATGGGGTTGTGATATACATTTCCCTTGTGCTTAATGTCAATATACAATCCTCAATATAAGAAAACATTTCAGAAGGCTTCTTTCTCACTTGGAAGTTCAAAGGCCAATTTTTTTAGTCAAAACCCTAAAAACTAAAAAAAAAAAAATTTTTTTTTGAAGAATATGCCAAACTCTTGAACGCCATAAATTTAAGCAATTTTGATATAAAAATTTTATTTCCCAGTCCGAAAACAACAACAAAACAGAAAATAAAATTGGTTTTAAAAAATTATAGTACACGCGCTGCCCACCTGCCTCACAAGTGCAAGGTCCCAAGTTTGATCCCTAGTACCCCCCCAAAAAAATTCACAGTATATCCCACTCCATGGACTATTTAAACCCAAGAGGTAAAAAGAATGTAATCCCAGCACTCAGGAGGCTGAGGCAGGAGGATTGCTGTGAGTTTGAGACCAGCCTGGGCTACATAGTGAGTTCCAGGTCAGTCTCAACTACATGGTGAGACCCTGTCTCATTAAAAAAAAATGCTATGGCTCTATAGGAACTGATTCTGAAAAAATCTCCAAGACATATTAGCTAAAAAGAGCAAACGTGTACAAGATCTTGTAGTTTGTATAAAAATACACACTCCCACACATTCTTATATATACATACATAATATATACAGACACATATAGAGAAATTTGTAATAATACAAGGTACTTCAGAATATTAAAAAAATATATATATTTTTTGAGGCACAGTTTCCCTGTAGTTCAGGCTAGACTTGAACTCACTCTGTAGCCCAGGTTGGCCTTGAACTTGCAGTGATCCTCCTGCCTCAGCCTCCCAAGTGGTGGGATTAGATGTGCGCCACCATGCCCAGCAAAATACTCAAATATATAGAGACAAAAAACAAGGTAGTAGTTTCCAGAGGAAAAGGGGAGGAGAAGAGAAGTTGAGAGCTTGTGTTTAATGGGCAGGAAATTTCCATTTCACAAGATGAGGAGGGCTCTGCAGGATGGATGGCAGTGATGATTGCAAAGCAATGTGAACATACTTAGTGGCACTGAGGTGTACACTTCAAATGATGAGAATGGTACATTCGTTATGTCTACTTAGCCACGATACAAAATGAATCTACATCAGATGTTTTTTCGTGCTGGGGACTAAAGACAGGGCCTCCCTATTTGAGACACACACTCCCCCATGGGGCTGCACCAACAACCCCCGCCACGTACACACACGCATGCACTCACACATGCTCACTGCCAAAGAGGCTGCTGCCCCAGGAACAGCAACTCATGTCTGCCGGCGGGCTAGCAGGGAGCTCTGTGGCCATGTAGTTTAGCTTTCCTTCATGCTGGGCATGGAATCCAGGGCCTTGTACCTGATAAGCACATGTGCCACACATGCCTTCTACATGGCTTTTATGCCAGTTTTCACTATGTACTACATGCCTAAGTATTAACATTCATTGAAGTCAGCTGTCATGGCACACCCATATAATCCCAGCACTTGGGAGGCTGAGGCAGGAGGACTGCTGTGAGGTAGAGACCAGCCTGGGCTACATAGTGAGCACAAAGCCAGCCTGGACTACAAAGAGAAACTGTGTCTCAAAAAAAAAAAAAAAAACCTCATCTGAAACCCCTGCCTTATACAAGAAGCTTTGACCAAAATCCTTAGTCTTTCATATCCCTTAAGTAAAAACATTTTCAATCCAGATCAGAATTGTTTTGAGGATATTTGTCAGATTTTAATGTTGCAAGGTGCAAAAATTATACTTGCTACCCTAAGAATATAGTCACCAAAAGTATGTTTATGTTTTCTTCAGCTATTACAGAAAAGCTTCAAAATCATTACAGAAAACTAATGATTTTTATCAGTGTGCAACTTTTACTCCATCGCAACCAAGCTAGCTCAATACAGAACTGCTTCAAGAGAAGTTACCATTCTGATTCAAGAAAAAAAAAATCAGCCTGCAATTATACAAACCAGAAAACAAATCATGCTTATGTCACAGTCTACCCTAAAAAGCTTGAACTTACTCGTCAGACTTGAAAACCTGCTCTCTGGGTTCCCACTTTGGTGAAGCCATGGGATCTTCTTTAGTCTCTCTGCAAGGAGCATGGAGCCCTGCCCAAGCAGGCACCTGAAGGAAGCCTGCAGGGAGAATGAGGGGCTGTCCGACAACAGCCTGAGCCAAGCCTCATGGCGAAAAGCTTCAGAAAGGAGGAGCAACTTGGTAAAGAAAAGAAGAAAAGTTGAAGCGATACTTTATTCATCTGAAGAAGCCAACATCTGCTAAAGGTGAAGACGACAGCTGGTTCTCCACCTAGCTAAGATACCTGCCTAAGTGGGCTCCGGATGGCGCCCTTCCTAAAGCAAAACTCAAGAACAAATATTTACCCACAAGACTCTCTTATGTGCACCAAACATGCATGTCTGAATACAGTACATCAATTTTGTTTTAGGAAGAAGATATGTGAGTATTAATCCATTCTCAGAGTAGGAAAGTAGTGTACTTTTTACGTAGGAAAGCTAAGAAAAAAATCATAACAGAAATTTACATATCAGAAAGACTTAATAAAGAGAAACATCTGCATGATAACAAAGAGTTAATAGCCTTAATCCATTAACAGTTCCTACAAATCAACTTAAAAAAGAAATATCCTGAAATATTCACAAAGACGGGTACAATTGGCCAATGATTACCGAAGCTCAGCGATAATCCAAGAAGTACTGCTTTGGAAGAAGGGTACTCTCCTGGGAGTCTGAGCAACCAGCCCCTCCTCAGCCTGCTGTGGGAGCTGGGGCAGCCACCTGGTAAGGGGATGCTGCAGCATCAGAGCAAGCCAAGTCCAGGCACCCAGGCTTCCCAGCAAGCGGCCAGCAAGGGAGCTCAACCTTGCATGACTGTCCGCAGCCAGGAGCGGGAAGAACCGAGAGGGTGGTGGCAGAATATGCAATGGGAAACTCAGCATAGACTGCACTGCTACAGAAAAGAAACGAGGGACAAATACACAAGGTGGCGAGATGCAGATCATGCGCGACACCATCCCATCTGTCAAAAACATAAAAAGCACATATCCATATAGTCTTAAAAGACTGAGAAGATCTACAATCAGCTACTAAAACAGTAGTGTGAGCATACAGCAAGGGAGAGCTTTCATTTTTTATTTGATAAACATTTTCTATAAAAGCACGTATTATTATTGTAATTATTTTTCAAAGAAAACTAAGATGTTAAGCATTTATCTACTAAAGACAACTTCTATCCTTTTTGCTCAAATGACATTCTCCTTCAAAAGTAGGGAAGATTTTGTTTTAAATCTTTTTTCCTCTGTTTCTTAGGAGAAACTTGTATAACTTCTAAATGCATAAGGCATCTGAGAAAGACTATTAAAAACACAAGCCACCCCTCCACGCCTAACACCCACAGGCAGAGAGCCATTCACTGCCCATACCACACCAAGATCAGACAACTCCGAGTCAGTGTACAAAGCATGGCCCTCCAACTACCACCAGTGTAAATACTCTGAGTACAAAGAACCTCCTGTCAGCCAGCCCGGCCCAGGGCACACCCGGTAGCTCAGCCGGAAGGGGAGTGACAATTTGAGTCACATGATCAGGAGCAGAAACAAATTGGGCTTGGCCAGTGTGATCCTCTTCATTTCTTCCCACACCTCCTATTAGCCTCACTCAAACCTCACCCTCCACGATCCCTGAACAGAAGTTTGTTATAGGTATCTACAGCGGCTTCATACCAAGGTGTTAGAAATCACAAGAAAAACACAACAAAGTGCTACTTGGGGTCTCAGCTGGAATCACAATATGGCATATGTGAAAACTCAGATTTTTTTGTACTAAAAGAAATGGGAAATGGGAAAATTCAATCAGAACACTCTGCTTTATCACACAGCATTTTTGAAATCCAGGTGTCAGATATCAAATATGGAGTAACCACAGATCCAGAAAGAAAAAGCCTGAGACACTGAGCCTAATAGCTGAAAAATAAGGTATAATTCATTGTCACAAAACTACAGAACACACAGCAGTACCAAAGTCATACAAAGTGCACCTGATATGGCATCCGAATGTCGGACCTAGAATGACCTGGGTCGCCAGTTTCTTAAGAAAGCACCCATTCTGCTCTAGGCCACAAGAACCGGATGGCATCTGGATGCTCTCTCTGATCTCCACAAGAGGAGCAAGGAAAGCAGTGCCACTAGCCGAGGCCTCTGCCACCCTAGGGACAGCTCTCAGGAGGGCGTCCTAGGGGCTACACACAGTTCCCATACCTGAACTGCATTACCCCGGCTAATACTGACCAGTCAGTCAGTCCCCAAACCAGAGTAAACACAGCAGTGTGCTGAGGACCGTGTGGCCATGATAGCCTTTGAGTGAGGTGCTTGGGACCACCTGCTCCCAGGGGACCTGAAGCTGCAGGTCACCAGTTCCAGCTCTCATCTGACGCCCGCCCCCAGATCGTGCTGTGGCTGCCAAGTAATTCTCCCCAAATGGACCTTTCAGGGCTCAGGGAAGTGACTTTTTTTTATTATATGGCACAGTTTGGCACAGTTATGTCTTTAGTCTTTGGGGTACTTTTATACTATCCAAGAGCAGAATATCTTTTTTCTCCTTTTTTTTTTTTAAAAACAGATTGCCAAACCAGGACATATACTAAAAAAAAAAAAAAGGAAGGTTACTTACCTGAGCCCTAACATCCCAGCTACCATGGAATCCTGTTGGAGCTGGTCTACAGAAGCAAGGTGTATTCTGGGGAGTCACATGTCACATCAAAGCAGGAACTGGTGTCTGTATTTTTATGGAGCCTAAAACAAAGAAAATTGTAAGTTGAAAGCCCCCATTGAGCTGTATGACCTTTTTCCCAGAGCTATTTGGGACATTTTGAAGATAAACAAACAGACAAAGCACTATGCTATTTCCCAGCTCACCTAGCTAGAAACAAAGGATAAACTGCAAATTACTGGCACATAATACACAGTGCTAAAATAAAGACTCATGCTGGTTCACATCAACACTATCACAGGTCTTGTCACCTCCGAGGGATACTTTGACTCTACAAAGCATACCATGAATGGTGATTTTTGGCAAGTAGTATTTCTTCCACCATGGCAGAAAGAAACACTCAGGGAAAGAATATGTGTTCAAGATAACACACAACATCAAAATACCATACCCCAAAGAACAAGCACAATCCAGAGGCAAAGCCTTCCTTCTTCAGCAAGCAGCTGAAGTTACAAAGGGCTGCTGCTGCGATATCACACAAGGGGCTTTGGCCCTTCGAGAAACAAAGCACCCGGGGAAACCAAGTGCCCAGGGAGATCCAATACTGTCATCCAAAATACGCATGCACGGCTATTTCAGAGCACTCACGGACGGCTAAGCTTCGCAGAGCAGCAAATCTGCACACCCAACGAACTGAGTTATTAGTTTGATCATTTGTCTTTTGTTTTTGAACACATGTTCAAAAGGACTTTTGTCACTAAGATAACTATCATTTCCTTGTTAAAACCTAAACTGTTTCATGTTAACCAATCTCTGATACCTTGCTGACCCAACAACAGCACTTTTAACTTAGACTAAAAACAAAGCACACAGTATATACCTTAGAAACCAATGACAATGACACACGTGATTTAATCCAGGAAGGGCAGCCCCAGCTGTTTCCTTTCTGGCTAAGCAACAGCTGCCTGAATGGTACCTAGAATTATCTTTTGAGGTGCAGTGAAGCCTCATAATTCCCTTAATCCCCTTAAACAAAGAGCCAAGCCATAGAATTCTTTGCAATCCCAGCCGTTAACGATATTTCTTGGTTACCTTCACAGTATAGTAAAAATCTCATCAGCAACCTGGCTAGGAGGCCCTGAAAAAAAATCACAACTTCTCAAGGCCACCAGTTGCTTCACTTAAACTGAGGGAGCTGGACTAAAGTTCCTTCCAGCTCTGAAAGTTTGAGATTCTTTTTTTTTTCTCTTAAATTCTTTTATCGGTACATTTTAGGTATACAATACATTTACATTTTGAGATCCTTAACTAACTCAAGATTTCATGGCGGGAAAAGTCCAAGAATGAGAACAGTTAGGCAAAAGCCCAAATCTATCTTGCACCCCCAGTTCTTGGGCAAGGAGACAAGCACCCACTTCCCAAGCTTGGTCCTGTCATTCAGCTACAGCAGCTGCAACATAGCTGCACACTATGGTGAGCACACATCCACTGGCCACAGATCCAACAGCGTGCAGCTCATCATGAAAAGGCCAAGGCCTTATTCTCTACCAGAGCACTCACACCTGCCCTTGGGATGGGCATGGGGATGCTGCCCACCCCCATCATTGCTTGCACTTGGTCCCCCATACGCTACAGCTACATCAAAGTGGCGGGGCCATGCAGCCAAGCAGTAACACGCAAGTCAAGCTCTCAAGCAGAGAAGGTCCCTTCAAGACAGGCAGAAGAGAACGGGAAAGGCAGACAGCACAGCTCCAAGAGAGCGGGGCCCAGGAAGGAGGGCAATTTTGACAAAGGGCTTCTGGCCTGCAGCAGTGTGGCCCGAAGGTCCTGTGGTGAAGCTGAGGATGGGCCCTTTCAGGGACCAGCAGCAGGGCTCCACCCAGCATGAAGATTGTCTGCCTGGCCTGAACGGATGGCACTGGAGCAGAAGGTGGGAAAAACAAGCAGGTGTTCCTGCACAGGCCTTAGAACACACCAGGTCAGGGCTGCACTCAACCCTCATGTGCCACTACAGCACCATTTTCTCCCTAGAGGGAACTCAGCAGCCTGGTGACAAACTGCTCTTGGCCAATTAGGAGATTCCAATTGATAGTCACCTTTATAAAAAGACTGGGTTCCAGAGCACATCACTTTTTATGCAAATAACCCTGCAAGGCGGGGGGGGGGGGGC